AATTTAAATAATCAATTATCATTATAATAACTTCAAAAGTATGCATATATAACTTTAGAGGATCCTGAAATATTCCAAACATGATGGAATTCCCATTTCTTTATCAAGTTTTATAAATTCCTAAATCTTTTGCTACTATGAAAGTTATAAATTTAATAAGTGTAGAAACTATCAGATAAATTGAAATCATATAAACATTTCTTATCTTTCTTGTTTTAAGCTCTCCTGTTTAATTATTTCAATTCAGTAATATTTTATCATCAGTGTTTTTCACTCTCTTTAAATTAAGCTAAATTTGACGTGGGACTCTGTTACTAAATGTGGATTTAGGTTGCATTGTAGTTTTTAAGAATATTGTGAGTAGGAACACTATAGACATAAAGCATAAAATTTGCTTTTCTTTTTGTTCTGGAGGCACTTGCGGTTAGAAATTAGCATTTCAACATGTTTACTAACCTATATTTCTTACTTTTCTCAAACTTTAGTTTTTATGTTATGTTTGACATTAATTCAAGTCAAAATAAATCAGTCATTTCAGATTTAATGTAGCTTTGGATAAATTACACCATAATTGACCATAAATAATGTATTTCATGTAATAATATACAGTGTTTAAGCCCAGTGATCTCTCATTACATATTACTTGAGTGTGTGAAATATCATTTCCATTCATTTACTAAAGCTGTTATCATTCTCTTTACTTTAATCGTGCATGATTCAGCTTTGTTCACAAAAACAAAAATATAAATTGTTGATGCATCTTGAACTGATTAAAAACAAGCCTTCATTAGTATGTCAATATGTGTGTGGAAATATTTGTTCATCAGATTCTTTTTTGTAACATTAATAGCATTGTATTCATTCACTTGTCTGACAGAATTTTATTTTGAATGTATAAAATTTATAATATACCTGCATGATTAGTATTGGCTGTTGTACATGTTATTAAGTAACTTGTTTGTGTGCATCGTTATATTATGACTGACCACTTCATAAGAGCAGAATGCCTCTGGTTCCTGATTAGTATGACTCACTGTGGTGTTTATCAGTATTGTAACACATAACACACTTTCTACTCACAAGATGTTAAAACTTGAAAAAACATACAGATCAGATTACACATAGAAAACATGAGATTAAAAAGAAATTCAAGTAAGATTATTACTGACCAGACCAGTTGTTACAGTAAGAATGACCATTTGCCTACCCATAATTACATTTTACAAGCTAATGCATCATTACCTCATAAATGACCATCATGACACATTGTAAAAAAGCATGAACAAATATCTAATACATAAGTACTAAATGATATATGAATGGTTACGTAACACCTAGTAAAAACATGGACATTCATCTAGCGTATCAGTACTACATGATACATGAATGGTTACGTAACACCTAGTACAAACATGGACATTCATCTAGCGTATCAGTACTACATGATACATGAATGGTTACGTAACACCTAGTACAAACATGGACATTCATCTAGCATATCAATACTACACGATACATGAATGGTTACGTAACACCTAGTTCAAATATGGACATCCATCTGGTACATCAGTACTACATAATACATGAATGGTTACGTAACACCTAGTAAAACATTAACATTTATTTTACTTGTTATTAGTACATAAAAAACTACCTGACACCTAGTAAAAACATGAACTTTTATCTTACATGTTATTAATACATAAAAACTACCCAACATCTAGTAAAAACACGAACACTTGTCTAATATAGTTGTTCATAATTGTGTATATATGGTAACTGAAAAAAAGTGAGAGGGCCCTTCTCCCTATGTGTTAGACATTTGTAATGTCATTAATATTTGAATGGTTACATAACACATAGTAAAATTATGAACATTTATCTGACGTATCATTTATACATGAATGTTTAATTGACACGTAGTAGAATTGCAGACATATGCTATACACAAGCTTATGATATAAATGATTACCTGACACAAATAAACATAAATATCTGTATGTTTAGCCTATGGTTATACTTGTACTTTTAAGCGATACTAATATGTAATAACAATGATATAATAGATACATTTTATATAACTAATAAATATGATACAAGTTATAAATTTTTCGTTAATCTTTATGATATGATTCTCAATCTTGTCAAATGATGGTTATGATATAACTGCTAATTCATTGTCTGAATGGCTCTGACATAACATACAGTTTCAATATCTAATAACTTTTACATCACCTACAACCTGGCAAGTGGTTAGATATAATATACCACTTTGTTGTTGTTGGTTGAGTGGGTATTTACTTTCCTTGCATTGATGTATCTCTCTTGTATCTATTATTTATGATATGACTTATCCTTCATCTAGCTATTGTTTGTGGTATGACTTATCTCCCTCTTCTAGCTATTATTTATGATGTGACTTATCTTTGTACTAGCTATTTCATAGGGCATAGTTACAAACCACAAATGATAATGGAATGTTATATTAGAAGGTTCAGAACAACTGTTATGAACTTCTTGTTCACTCTCACAGTAGACTGAGGCATTGTTTAGGACAGTTCTGGAATAGTTATATAAACTACAATAATTGTGATATAACAACATTAATAAGGATATTTTTTCATACAAATTTCTGAGAGTCAGTAGACCTAATACACAGTCATTTTAATGTGATGACCCGTTTAAAGATGACAGTGGATTTTAGAAAGCAAAGACACATATATTAATAACACTAGCATTCATGTATTTATATAATTCTTACCAAGTATGTTACTTTAGGGTGTGAACATATCTTTGTTGAAGTGCAAAATATGAGTAATAAAGTATTTTAAAGTTATATGTGTGTTGACAAGTATTGTTTTTCAACTTTTAACCAGAAATAGTTACTCATAATGGTAATTTCCATGGTGGGTCAGTGGTAAATTTATGAATGTGCAATGAAAAAATCCTGGGTTTGATTCCCCATGGTGGACACAGCAGATAGCCCAATGTGGCTTTGCTCTAAAACAAAATAAACAAACATAATCAGTGTCTAACAAAATAAACCTTTTACTCAGATCATTCAGATATATATGGATAATATTTGGTTTTCTAATTGTTAAATACAAAAACTGTTCACTTCTTTTATCATCACTATTGACACATGACATATACATTAAAAAAAACATTATAATTTGAAGGGAGACAGTTACAGGAAATCTCCTGCAGAGACAAATACTCATTTACTAGTCTTTCTCATGATTTTATCTAAAAAATAAAATATCTAGTCAAAAATTGCAGAAAAAAATTATTTGTTAGCACATATAGATGTAGAGATTTTATATAATAGGAGGTGAGTGTTAAGGAAAATCATCATTAAATAGGGATGTCATTTATTATAATTATTTTTATTTTAATAATGTATGGAAAAAAATAGAATATTGGAAAACCTAAGTATTTTGACTTTGCATAAATGAAAGTTGTAAGCATTTCTGACTTTGAATACTGACCCAAATTGTAGAAATACAGACCTTTATAAGAAATGTATACATATGTGGAGTACATCCGTCAGGATTCAAGCTTGAACAGTAAAAAAAACTTCTTTTATAAAATGTTTAAAAACGAACTCAATCTTAATCATGGTATACAGCATTATATTTGAATATATGTTTCCTTATTATATAGAAGAAGATTAAATAATAAATGCTTTCTTAGTTTAATTTTTATTTTGTAAACAAGCTTACAGCTAATAAACAAATAGCTGGAACATGCAATTTTCCTTTCAAAATAAAAAATAATAAATGTGACATATTCTTGTGCAAGTTTTTTTCTCCTTAATATACTCCAGTGTGTTTTATTGAACTTCTGTAGTGTATCACAACACAATTGAAATGGAGGCTATTTCTCTTGAAGTCCCCTGGTGGATAAGCAGTAACTTTACAGACTTACTATGCTAAAATTTGGGGTTTGTTTCCCTGTGTTGGACAGAGCACAAGTAGCTCAATGAGTATCTTTGGACTAAAACAAACAAATTTCTTTTGAAAAAAAAAAAGCAGCAGAGCAGTGATACAGCATGTTACTTGAAAGTCACTACTATGAGCAAGACATGAGACGGAAAAATGCAGCATATCTATATGTCTTTATTATATTAGTTTTGCTTAAGGTGAAAGATCATTTACATATCTTTTCATCTTTCTTGTCCTAAAGCTAGTAAACTTGTAACTAATATGATAATAGGTTCTCAAGTGGATATGTTAACTGTTAGCATCGTACATTATAAAGTTGGTAGGAGCTCAGCATGTATCTTGAAATGTTTGAAATTTCTCTTTGTGTTTAAAGTACTCTGAACTTGTGAACAACCAGACTCTTTGTAGATTTGAAACTTCTAAATTAGCTGTTAAAAATAAACAAAAGTTTTGTACGTAACAAATTGTTCTTGTAGCTCATTATATGTTATTAAGTTTGTTACTTTCTCTTTAAAAGTTTTTAATTGTTAATGTGAGTGCGTGGGAAAGGTGGCCAGCTTGTCTTATAGATATTATTATTATAACCAAGACAATTAATTGTTACAATTGCTGCTACACCCAAACCTTGTCCATTCCAAGAAAAAAAAGTTGGAAGAAAAATGTTATGCAACATTCTCTATTTTGTTGTGTTATTTCATGCAGAATATTTAGGATAGAACATAATTAATTAATAATAAGTATTCTGGTTAAATTCTATCCTAAAAATTCTAATAGAATTTTAAAATAATAAACTATCTGCTGTGACTCAGTTAACTTGAATAATTAAACTGATCAAGCCTACTTACTTAAAAAAGAAAAAGCATTTAATATTGTAGAATGTATTTTAAACTTTGTTACTGTTGTTTATATTTAACCTTGCATGTTAAAGTTATTCATATGAATGACTGTGGAATATAAATTGTACAGTCAGTCATATGTGTAGTAAACACTTGCATTACCCAACTTCTTTGCTTCATTCTTCAAAAATAATTTAACATGTTATTTTATTCTTTTTAGGAGGCTTTAAAAGAAAAGGAAGATCAGATTGAGAAGCTGCTTCAGGAAAGGGATCTGGAAAGAGCAGAGGTAGCCCGTTCTGCTGGTCAAGTAGATGAGGTAAGGATGCTTTTTCAGAACTTCTTTAAACCAGAATGTCACAAATTTCTTTATTTGCTGAATATGGTCTGGTGGTTAGTGTGCTTGACTTGCACCATGGGTTTTAATCGCATCCCCAACCATGCTCACCCTTCCAGCTTTGGAGGAGTTATAATGTGATGGTCAATCCCAATATTTGATGAGAGTAGTCCAAGAATTGGTAGTGGTTGGCATTGACTAGCTGTCTGCCCTATAGTCTATCACTTCTAACTTAGGGACAGCTAGCACTGATAGCCCTCAAGTAGCTTTGCACAAAATATACAAGTTATTTAAATAAACCTTGTATAACTTTAGGCTAGAAAAATAGTAATTCAATATCTAAATGCATTCTAGCTTGTATATTATTGCTTGGATTCTGCTCAAACATAGTCAGATGATAGACTTTCATTATCTAGATCTGTGTTTTTGAATTATATTAGCAGTGCATTTTATAAAGTTGGACAGAACTTGATATTATTTATTACTTATGGATATTTTTATCTGAATATTTGTTGGTTCAACCATATATTGCAAATTTTAAAAGAGCAACTTTAATTGTTAAAAAAGTTGTAATTATATCTCCACATAACACTTCTGTGCATGAAAAAGTTATGTATTATTGTGATTTAAGATTGTTTAGTTGTTTATATAGTGTTCAGATACTCTTGGTTCTTTTATTAGAATTAAAACAATTCATTTTATTTACTTGCATATCATTATAAACTCATGTACTTCCATATAAATGTACATTTGTTTGCTTGACTAAGCCAACATAATTTTATTTTAACTGATATAAAATAAACTTGAAAGTTTAAACTTCCCAGATTCATTACAAAGTTCCATTTGTGTTTTGATGTGCTTCATGTTTTTCATTACAGGCAGAACGGAAGTTGGCAACTTTACAAAAAGAACACCAAGTGTACGTGGAAAAAACAGAAACTACTCTGATCCAGCTCCGAGAACTTGTTGAAAAAGTTGAATTAGAAAAAAAGAAAACATTAAGTCAATTGGAGGATGAGCGAAGGTGGGTGGAAGATTCTGATGTGTAGAATTGTGCTGAGAACAACATGGTTGAACATTACCCGTGATAATAATTACAATTCTTTTAAAACCGCACATGTAATGCATAATGACTGTGCACTGAATATAGCTTGTTCTGAGCAGTATTTTTTACAAAAGTTTCTTTAGAGTCGTACTTTCTTCCATAGCAAAGAAATACATAAAATATAAGATGATGCAAATGCCTTTTAATGTTTCTTACAGTACTTTGCTTTGAAATGCTAACCAACTACTGTGATTTTTCCAGAAAAGTTGAAGATTTACAGTTCAGGATAGAGGAAGAAGCCATAAACAAGGTTGATCTTGAAGTAAGTTGACTTGGTAATTTGTTAACCCATGCTCTTGAAATGAATTATACCTGTTTCAAGCCATTGAAAAATGAAGTTAAAAAATACCATAATCACCATACTAAAAATAATTTGTTGTTCAAAATATTGCTGTAAAATTAACAAATGATGTCTATGTAAGACAAGAAAACAAAAACAGGTCTTGAATATAACATACATAGATGCATCTGGTAGAGATAGATTGATCACCTGTTCTTTTTATCTTTTATTGACCATATTTACAGAAATAGTTATATGTGATGCATCTTACATTTTAAATAGATGTGTTTGTGAGAAGTGGAATTTAACATATATATACAAGAGTGTATCTAAATCGTACCATTATCAGCTCTATAAATGGGATGTGATTGGTAACATAAAATATCTGTTGTTCTCCAGTTTATGCTAGAGTTAGTAAAAAGTAAGGAAATTATTCAGATTTGTTTGAACGAATAAGTAGATCATTTATTGAGAATTGACACTTTTATAATAACACCAACTTCTGTAGACACAATCAGAACAGGAACGAATGAAGATCCAAGAATTGGAGAGACTTTTGGAGGAAGAACGTCAACACTCAAGAACTTCAGATTCCAACATTAATCAGGTATGTGTTACTAACTGTTCTGTTTTAAAACTTTGTCACCTTTTATTGATTTATCTGTTTATAAAAACTTTTTAGTCCTCTTTTGTATACTTTCAAAAATACATAAAACAAGAATTGTGTAAAAATTAAATATTTAATATTAGTTCACCCAATGTTCATTTCATTTCTGTATGTTTATTACAGTATTCTGTACTGATTTTTTATGTATAATGAACAAGCAATTACTTAACACGTCTTCTATGCATACATGCACATACATTAGACTTAAAATAAGACCCAAAACTCAAGTGATTTCGAATAGTTGACTATTTTCTTCAGGACAACAAAGAAGAATAGTAAACTATTTGAGAGCTCTCTAGTTTTGGGTCTTATTTTAGGTCTATTATGCTTTATAAGTGATCCTTTGTGCTAACTTTTTTATCAAAATTGCACACACATTATACATGTATATATATATATATATATACATACATACATACACAAAAGTTTCAAATTATTTGTAATGAAATCACTTAAAACAAAATAGGCTATTTAAAAGGCGATAAACATGCAGCTTACTTGTATATTTATTGTTGGAAGGCTGGGCTTATCAGAATTTAGGTCTTGCTTTGTTATACTCATTCAAACAGGCATGTAAAACAATGCTCATCTCTGTGTCAAGGGGGAAATATTGCAATTCCATTGTCAGTCTGCTTTCAAAAAACTTCCTTTTTCGTTACTTAGTAACTTTTGATTTTCTGTTTTACAAGAAAAATATTAAACATTTGGTACAAATCCATATACATATTAGTTTGGACATCTGTATTTCAATATATACACCTGGAAA